CCACTACAGATTCTCACTGCTATTCAGTAAAATCACATTCACAATTAAATTTAAAAAAAAATATATTTCAGGCTGAAAATGCCAACTTCTCAAATAATTTGATTTTCAATGTTATTCTTTTTATTTTTACTTTTAATAACTTTCTATTATTTCTAGTATTCTAGTATTTCTAGCTTCCAATTTGGTTTTCAATTTAACCATTTAAGAGGTTAAGTGGAGTAGCTTTTGCTAGACTTCGCTTCGTCTCTACTGTATATTTGTATATAACAATATACAACAATAAAGGCAATTTATTATTTTTATAATTATTATATTATAATGCAATCCCGATAATGGCCACTGTTTAAGGTCGTTCACTGACGTTGCTCTCTCGTCTAGGCATTAATTATCGTTTGATGGTTTGAGGCAGCTTTCTTTTTCGCTGAACCCGTAACGGTTTACCGATATGCAAGAGCGTGCATTAAGATCTCAGATCAGAGAAAAAATTGCATCACTTATTGGGTTTCCTAGACTAAAACTTCGGTTAGCTTTTAAAGCGTCTTTTGGAATATTTTAATCGCCTAGCGGTTCGGTAAACGAACGCCACATGTCCGACGTTTGTTCCGATACCGGTTTCGGAATTAGTTTTATATTTCGGTCGCTACATAAATATACAGAGTGTCCAAATCCAATCTGTTTTAGAGAAAAATGCTAAACACGAAAGTTATAGGTGAAACTAAAACAAACCGCTTGAAATTATTTTCAAATATATGAGGTGGTTCATAAATATGTGGAAAATCGAACTTTTTGAAAAAATTTGAACGAACACCTTGTATATTATTGTATTAAAAGACACCACCTTTTTATACTTGGTCCCCCAACGTAGGGTTATTATGATGTATACCGAGTGTTTTCGGATTTACGACCATTTTTTTGTCAGAAATGTTTAGTATTGGGTTGTTCGGAAAGTCATTTCGTTTTTTTTGGGGAACATGAAAGACAGTTTTCGTATAATGAATAAATATTTTATTAAATTATATATTGGCCATTCTGGTCCAACACCTTTTGCCATCTTTCTGGCAGTAACATAATTCCCCTCTCATAAAAGTTTTGGTCCTTGCTGGCAAAAAACTGGTTCAGGTGGTTTTTGACATCTTCATTTGAGGTAAAGGTTTTGCCATCCAAAAAATTTTGCAGGAACCGGAACAAATAGTAGTCGGAAGGCGCCAGATCTGGAGAATATGGTGGATGTTGCAGTACGTCCCATTCAAGCTGTAAAAGTTTTTGGCGAGTGACCAAACTTGTGTGAGGTCTCGCATTATCCTGGTGGAACACTACACCCTTCCTGTTGATTAATTCGGGCCTCTTCTCTTTAAGTGAATCATTCAATTTGTCCAGTTGATGACAATAGACTTCTGAATTAATCGTTGTATTGTCCGGCAAACGCTCAAAAAAAACGATTCCTTTGACATCCCACCAAACGGAGAGCATCACCTTTTTTTGGTGAATGTTGGCTTTTGACACGCTTTGAGCCGGTTCATCTTTTCTGCTCCATGACCTCTTGCGTTTAACATTGTTGTATGCAACCCATTTTTCGTCCCCAGTAATAATCCGCTTCAAAAATGGATCATTGTCTTGACGTTTGAGGAGCGAATCACACACGTCAACGCGACGACACAAATTTCGCTCCGTAAGGACATGGGGCACCCACACATCGAGCTTCGAGGTTAAGCCCATGCCTTTCAAATGGCCATAAACAGTCGAATTCGACAAATTTAATCTCACCGATCTCTAGTGGGGTTATTCGCCGATTTGCATCAACTAATGCCTTTATGGCATCTTTGTCAGCTTCGACCGGCCTTCCAGACCGTGGTGCATCTTCGACATCAAAATTGCCGGATCGAAATTTTGCAAAGCAGTTCTGGCACTGGCGTACTGTTACCACGCCTTCTCCATACACATCCGTCAATTTTTTTCTCGCTTGGACAGCATTTTTACCTTTTCTGAAGTAAAAAAGTAAAATATGACGAAACTGCTGCTTATTGCTCTCCATATTTAAAAGGGCACCAACCAAAAACTACTGCGTAGAATTAATAGAACTTTTTCACACACAAGCCTTACAATATCAACTCTCAAAACATATAATGGTTATGCGGCTTAAGTGTGAAGTTGGTTTCGAAAAAACGCAATTAAGTCCTCTGACGGGAAAAAACGAAATCGCGTCTTTTAGTGTCTTTACTGGTGTTTAAATGTTTGTTGTGTTTTAATAGGAAATAACGTAGGGCCTTAATTGATTCGGTGATAGACCTTCCTCACCACATAACCGTGAAGTTACGAACTACTTAAACAATTTATTTCCTCAACGATAGATAATGGTATGGGTACACGTGAGGCCTTGTTCAGCATGCAGGTGTTGGTGCAGAGATGCCGGGATGTGTCCGTAGATGCGTTTGCGTGTTTCATAGATTATGAGAAGGCTTTCGACACCGTCCAGCACATTAAACTCATTGAAATACTAAGGAAACAAAACCTAGATGAACGAGATATACGAATAATAGCAAATCTATATTGGCACCAGAAAGCAAAAATAGTAGTGAACGGAGAGATGTCGGATGAGGTTCGAATCATGCGTGGTGTGAGACAGGGCTGCGTGCTGTCGCCTCTGTTATTTAACCTGTACTCCGAAAGCATTTTTGAAGAAGCATTATACGAGAAACACCAAGGTATTATTCTCAACGGTACAGTTATAAATAACTTCAGATACGCGGACGATACTGTGCTTCTCGCGAGTACGCTGGAGGACCTGCAGGAACTTTTGAACTGCGTGGCAGACAGAAGTGGGGAGATGGGACTCAAGCTGAACATCAAAAAGACTAAATGGCTAGTAGTAAGCAAACATAGAGATGTGTGGGGTGATTTGGAGTACGACGGAAAACCCATAGAACGCGTCCAACATTACAAATATTTAGGCTGCATACTTAACGCAGAGTGGGACAACACACAAGAGATAAGATCCCGAATAGAGCAAGCCCGGGGCGCCTTCGTTAAAATGAAGGCCGTGTTATGCAGCCGCGATATCGATTTAGCTTTGAGGATTCGCATTCTCAAATGCTATGTCTCATGTATGGGGCCGAATCGTGGACGCTGACCGAAACCATGTGCAGAAGACTGGAGGCTTTCGAAATGTGGACATACAGACGCATGCTGCGAGTCTCGTGGGTTGACAGAGTCCGAAATATAGACATATTAAATCAACTAAACAAACAAACAGAAGTCATACACACTATCAAAAAGAGAAAACTAGAATATTTCGGACATATTCTACGCAACACAAAGTACCAAATACTCCAACTCATTATGCAGGGCAAGATAGATGGTAGGAGAGGCCCAGGCCGTCGCAGAACTTCCTGGTTGAAGAATCTGCGGCAGTGGTATGGTGTTAGCGCCAGGACACTTTTTAGAAGAGCGGTGGACAAAGTCACGCTAAGGCACACAAAGGCACGCTAAGAAGAAGAACGATAGATAAGAAGAAGTTGTCCGATCAGAAGGACACCTAGCTCTCATGATCTAACAAAGTTGGGGGATATGTTTTTAGGTTATTTTTTGCGTTTTGCAGTTTTATTCTTAAAAGTGTTCTTTTCTGGAATTATTTGCAACATTAGCATTTCATTTTTGTTTAAATGACGGATTTAATAAATTAATATTTTTCATTTGTACCCACCCTGTATAAACGATTCGAACGAACTTGAACTTACGAAATTGTTGACCCAATATTTAAAAAAAAAATTATAATAAAAGAAATATTTTATGTTGATATACTATTGGGACGACCCGTATAAATGACCATTTTTCGATATCCGTTTTAGGTAGGCAACAATAAATTTCGCCGTAATTACGAGATCGTGGCGTTAAAAAATGTGCTCCCTAATTAAAAGTTGAACCAAAATTAAGTTAACTCGCATAATTACGAATAGAAAATGGTTCCGTCCTAATTAATCGATCCTCTTCGTGTGTACAATAATTATGAATATTAGAACGCGATTATCCTATTAAGTTTATTTTTTTTAGAACTACCGCGCCATCTTCCAAACGCGATGTACAGGGTGGTCGAATTAGCGTGCAAAATTATGCGTCGTGGAGACTCACGGGAAAAAAATTTATCACTGACGTGGTCACAAAAAGGCCTGTTGAAATATTTTCAGATTACCAGGGGACGTAACGGCCATTTCATTTTGTATAATTGTAACTCCCGTAAAGGCTGAAATGATGCTAAAAAACTTGATATATGCCACGTTTTAGTATAAACTTTATACGAGCCGCCTGCTCCCAAACCCGTGTAACTCCTGTAAAGACTAAACAGATTTTAACAAACTTGATATATAAGACGGATATAGAAAGATAAGAGTTGGAAAAATCTTGGAAAAGTCCTAGATAATTTGCGATATATTAAATATACAGTTATAACTCACAGGCAAGGGCTAAATAAAAACCTTTACCTCCCAACATCTCGCTCTGCAGGCTACAATTTTAAGGGGGTTAATTTTTATATCCAAAGCTACAGTAGTTCCTATTCAATATTATTTTGCATTCATTTAAATGTATTTGTAACATGATAATATAATATTTGTGAAATTCTTTTTTTGTTGCGCAGTCCTCGTATTTTTTGACCCCCCCCTGCTCATCTAACCTACTAAACTGAATTTATTTTATTACGTAATAAATATTTTTTTCAATTTATTTTTTATCTATGCAACTCCTTCTTCAAAAAAAAAAAATGCGCCAACAAGACTTTTCCATAAAAGTTGATAACGAAAGTATACGTCCCTTCCCACGGGTTAGGCACCTTGGATGTATGAGCAGAAAACATATTCGGTTTCTTATTTTTTATTTATTATTATTATTATTTTTTATTATTTATTTATTATTTTTTAAATATGTATGTATATATGTATTGTATGTATGTATGCTGCTCCACAGATCAAATGTCGATTAAGGTTAAATTTAAATCATCTAATTTGCAGACACGGAAGGTTGAACGTGTTGCGTTGGTTGCTGTGGGAATCTGGAGACGGCGCCATGCCAGCCCTTGAAAAGGGCGGTTCGGCCGTAAACAGCGACGGCAGTGGCGCAGACGAGGCGCATTCTCACCGGGGTTCGACCACGCTCGCGCTTCACTACGCCGCCGCCAGGGGGTGTTTGGACTGCGTCCGTTTGCTAGTGGACACCTCCAAGGAGTTAAGGTAAGCCACGAGAACGTTTGCGAGAACTGTGGGGTGTGACGAAAGATTGTAGTGCGCTTTTTTGTGAATGAATTCAAAATAAATCTCCTGAGATACACTAGACTCGCACATATTTTGCATAATTCGCACACGATTCAACACGAATGATTACTAATAAACTAAAACTAAGTAGCATACCAAACCAAAGAATATTAAACACAGGTAGGTATAAAATTATTTTCTATTACGGACCAAAATTTACCTGAATTTAAATTCCGTAACTTTAGGTAATAATCTTGTTGCATTGTATGTTAATGACCACCGTCGGATAATCCCATTCAAAAGCAGTTGGTCTATGAACAGACCATACCGATAAGACATAAACATGGGCATAAAAATACTTGCCTTCATCAAAAACGGAGAATTATGAATTTCCTCGATTATTTGTTGGTTTATTTCTATTCGATTTATTTGTTTATGATTTGTTTCAACTGCCTTGGAATATTGGTCCTATTGTGCTCCGCGTTCGCTCATTCGGACTTGGGCCGCCGCTGACGAGGAAACGCAATTATTTTTTTAATAGGAAGTTACGTGCGTGAAGAAAGCGTTGATATGTGTTTATGTGAAGCACGAATGTTATGTCTTAAAATCCGGTTAGGTTTGATTATTAAACACGGTCCAAATAGTGTCGCTTATTACGCGTTTTAGAACAAAAATTAAATACGAAAATTGTAGATGACACTAAAAGAAACGATTTAAATGTATTTTCGAATATACTGGGCGATTCATAAATATAAGAAATCGCAAAATTAAAGTACGCACAATTACGAAAGTCACCTTAATTTTTGAACACACCTCGTATACCGAGTGCCAACTATTTTATATAGTGGCACAAAGATTGATCTCATACTTGTCTTGAAATTAGTTCGAATTGTTTATACAGGGTGAATCAGTATGAAAAATATAAATTATATAATAATAATTTCTACTAATGCTCTTTCAATTTTATTAAGCACCACTTTTCTCGAGGTACACGCTTTTTTACGAACAAATCTCCCAAAAATTGTCAAATCTTTAGAAATTAGCGCCAAAAGACAAAAAAAATATTAGTTTTTCAATCTATTTATTTATTTATAAACAAGGTTTTTTCCACATATTGATGAGTCACCCTGTATATTTGAAACTTGGTTTTTGCTTGATGAAAATGCGCGTTTAAATCCAATTGGTTCATTCCCATAGTTTCCAAAAAATTAATTTTTTTGTTTTTAGATTCGTTATGTAAAATATCCAAATATTATCAAACCTGTGCATAGTTAGAATCCCAACTTTTATTTTTATACGCCCTTTTATGTTTATGTTATGTTATGTTATGTTTCTGAAATGTTCTACCTGTGTGTCCGGTATAAATTTTGGGACAAGATCGACATTTCAACTTGTAGACTCCGGATTTTTCAGTTTTTCGTCATTTAGTTTTATTGTTAAGACCGGATTTAGATAGACGCTTCGAAATTCAGTGTTAATCTATGTATTTTTTTGTATTATAAATTTTGGGTTAATATGAGATAGATAGAGTTCAGAGTTATTTGAAACTGTTTTATAACATTTAATCCTTTTTTCAAAATTGACTGTGAAAAATTATATTAAAATATTAAGTACTCTGTCGACAAAAGAATAAATTTTGTGATTTGGGTTTATTATGTGTCACTGTGTCCGCGTGTGAGGGTTTACGGTAAATGGAAAAGTCCAATTTGTTCTGCAATTTAGGTATAATTAAATACAGAAATTTTAAAGAGTTGTCTAGTTTCGTCTCTGGTAATTTTTATACGGTTTTGTATGGAATTAGTATGATTCAAAAAGGACTGTAATTGACTTTCAGTTCAGTCTATCTGCTATATTACGGCGTACGGCATAGTTTAAGAAAAAAATTGTTTTCTCGAAAACCATTTACTTTATTTGGAAAAAATCCCCAAGGCTATGACATCTAGTTCCGGGATTTTTTGGATTATATACAGGGTTTCTCGGTTACGAGAAAAAGTCTATCGAGAGTGAGTTTCAGGTTTCGCCTATTATACAGGGTGCGCGAGATATTTGAAAAAATATTATTTTAAATCGCAATTACCAGTACAAATTTTAGTATCTACCAAAGATTGTCGTTACTTAGAAGACTGCGAAGTGCAGACGCTTTGCACAGCTACGGTTTTTCAAAATCGATGTGTTGTATAATAACAAATAACATTGTGGTCCCTCGGGTTTTCGAAAACGTAGTGGCTGAACTGCGGTAACAGTAAAACAAGCATAAGCAACATCTACGTATCTATACTAAGATTGAGGGTGATTTTTATTTCGAATTTGTCCATCCGTGAATCAATACGTGAAAAGAAAAAAAATAATATATATATATATATATATATATATATATATATATATATATATATATATATATATATATATATATATATATATATATATATATATATATATATATATATATATATATATATACAGTGTGTCCAAGATAAGGATGCACAGCATGGGGATCTCGGAAACTATAAGAGATACAGTGTCGGTTAAATTAGACAAAAGTTGCGCATTTTGATACCGAACAAGATCCCGTTTTACAAATTTGAAAATTCCAAGCCGTTCCGGAAATATCCGAGAAAAACCGAAATATTGCGATTTCGTTTTTATTATTTTTTAAAGCTATTTGAAAAGATATGAAAAAACGGAAAACACTTTTCCATTGGCACTTTTTAATCTCTCCAAATTGACGTTAACAAATTTTCATTACAGCGTTTCGATTCCATGGAACCACCATCAACTTTGATTTTTCTTATGGGACGGAAAAAAAGTACACACAGTATTAGGTTGTGCTTTTCATTGCGAATTCAACGATGTACGCTACAATACGGTTACTTATGTTTTTATCCAGAAAAATGGATTTTTAATACATTTCAGCATTTAAATGGAGTAGGCCATGACAAAATGACATCCAGTCAATTTCAATGACACATTAATGTTATTTGTCTTTGTTATCAGTCGATCATAAGTTTATTCCTTTAGTTATTGTTTTTGTATTTTTATTGTTGTTGTCTTTTTCTAATTTATTTTGTTCTACAATGGAGGGAGGTAATTTTACAAACGAAGAAAAATGTGATATGCTGTCTTGCTACATCTGATGCCAAAGAAATTGTGTGGAAGCCGAGCGTAGGTATTCTAACAAATACCCAGAGCGGAGACAACCTGACAAGAGTATTTTTCGGCGTTTGTTATTTAATCTGAAAGAATATGGATCATTTAAGAAGCCTGCATTATCCCGACAAAAACCTTCCAATGAAGAAAACCAATACATTGTTCTACAATCTGTTATCGAAAATCCACAAACTTCTACCAGAGAAATTGAAGACCAGAATGGGGTAGCTAAATCTACAGCTCAGTTTATTTTAAGGAAAAATGAATTTAAGCCTTACAAATTCAGAATATGTCAAGGATTAAAACCGGGTGACGACGAACGACGTAGACATTTTTGTGAGTGGTATACCAGGATGTGTGATGAGAGTTTTAATTTTCCATATAAAGTGATTTGGTCTGATGAAAGTATGGTGACCAATAACGGTATTTATAACAGGCGCAATACACACTATTGGTCGCAACAAAATCCACGTGTTAATAGACTATCCAGACATCAAGTTCGCTTTGGGTTTAATATTTGGTGTGGGATTTTTGGTAGCAAGATTATAGGCCCTATTTTCTATAATAATTCCTTAACTTCCGAGCGGTACCTTGACATCTTGAGGCACGATTTAGAAGATGCCTTAGATGATTTACCGCTAGGCGCTGTGCAAGGCTGCTGGTTCCAACAAGATGGTGCCCCAGCCCATAACTCCAGAGAAGTTCGCCAATATTTAACTGAACGGTTTGATGGAAAATACATTGGGACTTACAGTGAAACACCTTGGCCTCCAAGGTCCCCGGACTTAACTCCCTTGGACTTTTTCTTATGGGGCTACATAAAAAATGAGGTATTCAAAGAATGTTTTGACAACGAGGAACAATTACGTCAATCAGTACGAGCAGCGTTTAATAAAATTACTCCTGAAATGTTAAGTCGTGTTTTGGAGTCTACCGTGAGACGGGCGTACTTATGCCTAGAAAATGAAGGTCATTTATTCGAACATTTGTTATAGAATTTGTTTTTCATTAACTTGTTGGATTTAGTTGTTATGTTAAATGAACAGTTAATAAAATACTAGAAATGTATTAAAAAGCCATTTTTCTGGATAAAAACATAAGTAACCGTATTGTATCGTACATCGTTGAATTCGCAATGAAAAGCACAACCTAATACTGTGTGTACTTTTTTTCCGTCCCATAAGAAAAATCAAAGTTGATGGTGGTTCCATGGAATCGAAACGCTGTGATGAAAATTTGTTAACGTCAATTTGGAGAGATTAAAAAGTGCCAATGGAAAAGTGTTTTCCGTTTTTTCATATCTTTTTAAATAGCTTTAAAAAATAATAAAAACGAAATCGCAATATTTCGGTTTTTCTCGGATATTTCCGGAACGGCTTGGAATTTTCAAATTTGTAAAACGGGATCTTGTTCGGTATCAAAATGCGCAACTTTTGTCTAATTTAACCGACACTGTATATATATATATATATATATATATATATATATATATATATATATATATATATATATATATATATATATATATATATATATATATATATATATATATATATATCAGGTTAAACTATATTGTAAATGCTAAATGCGTCAATAAAATTTTAATTTAATTTAATTAATTAATCAAGAAACTGTCATCTTGAAACATACAACTTGCCGGATGTTGAGAGAAGCAGAGGCCCAGAAAGAAAAAGACCGTCTTGACTGAAAGACCTACAACAGTCGACCGATACTCTGCTTAGGGCAGCGGTAAATAAAATATTGATGGCCGCAGATATGGCACATCAAGAAGGAGAAGAAGAAAACTTTTGTGTTTAAAATTTAAAAAACGA